ATAAAATTATTTCCATATAATCAATTATGGTCATTAAGATTATAAAGTAGATGTTTTAAAAATTGTATCATAAAAAAATTTCAACAATATTTGCCAAAACCTGATCAAACTCATATGCGCGGTTTTTAGGAATAATTGAATTAATAATAATAACCCAATAATATAATGATTACTTAAGAAAATTAGGACCTATATCCTATGGCTTCTGAGATGAGATAATGATTATACATAAAAAATCTTAATTTATTACAGTTCCTTTAAAAATAACTGCAATATTAGAGACTTAATGCAATTATTGTATATTTTAATTATTCTTTTATTAAAATTGCTATCATATGATAAGTATATATATATTAAAGTGATTAATAATAGTCTACTTATATAATAGGTAAGGTTTCTTTCTTTGATTTACGAATCTAGGTATATTGTAATAAATTATTTTACTTTCTCATTAAATTTTAGAAGGCATGTACTTTTTCACCTTAATTAGAAATTCTTCTTCTTTATCTTGCTCTGAATTACTCAACCAATTTATCCATTGGTAATTTAATAAGCTCTTCAAGTTATAATCCTCTGTAGGTAAACTTCTTAACACCAATGAATTATTTGTGTTATATTTATTCAGCCATTATTTGAAAAAATTAAAATAAAGATTTAATAGATTTAATATTATCGAAAAATAAATAAATATATATAAAACACTAACATAAATAGTTCTATTTCTATATTTATTATGTATAATATTATTCTATAAATTATTATGTATATAAAAACATCTTAAACTTAAAATAGTTGAATTTATAAAGAAATAAGACTTATAAACTAATTCAATTCTCTAATTATTTTTTTAAGTATAAATAATGACTTTATGAAATAAAATTATATTTTGATAACCTTTTTTTAGTTGATTAGAAATATCAATAAATCTGATAATACCTTTTATATATAATAAAATACTGAATTTTATTTTTTCAGTATTTAATGACTTAGTTTATGAAAAATCATTATAATAATAATATCTATATTATCATCTCCATCGAGACGATTAGTCAAGAAAGACAATCAAACCTGTGCATTGTCTTAATTAATAACAATGAAAAAAGATGGTAATGAGGCTTCAACTAGAAGCATAGACACTTTAGGATCATAAACTTAAGCTAATGATATGTCTGATAATGGAATTTCGATATTTTTACCTGTTATAGAGGAGAAATCTAAAATTCGATTCATCAAACAAACATCCAATCCAAAACAATCAATCACTTCAAGAAAAGTAGTGATAACATAAACAGATTCTATATCACCCATGATTAAATCAGATATTTATCTACCATCAAATTAATTCAATACCAACTTCTCCAAATAAATTTTTAATTCCAAACCATAAAAGTCATTTAACAAATGTAGAAGAATAAGATAAAAAAGTGGAGCTTAGAAAATCTATTTAAGTTATTGATTTTATTAACAATATAAACATCAAAGATGTAATTGATGGAAGTGTTAAATCATTGAAAAAAAAATTGTAGAGGTAATAAACAAAAATGATAAAAAAAGGATCAGAAACCTCTATTTACTACAATGATTTTTTAAAACTAATCTATATTTTATAAATCTAATAATATTTATTTATTTTTTCTATTTTTAAGCGATATTAGTGAAATAATTTATCACCACATCTCAACATATATTTTAAATAATCATTTATTATTTAATTGAAAATATTTGTTTAATATTAATTCCTTTATAACTACGATTGGATATAATTTATCATTTTATATTTTAACTATTCTATATCAAATTTATAATGGTTTTTAAAAAATGTATTAAAATCTGATTGTGTGTTATTGAAATATATTATTCTTAATTTATTATTTATATTAATTAAAATGTCTGCATAATATAAGTTTGTTTAGACACATTGGCTTTTGATTAAATTGAAGAAATAGTATTGATTCATGGATAACCTTCAATTTAGTTAATTGTATATATATATACACCCATTAGTTAATATTGTTTAGAAAGTAATTAAATTGATAAATAAAAGGTAATAATAAACCAATTAAAGAATTTTATGATTATGTGTAACATATCCAAAATCCTGGGTTTATGTTGTTAAGCTTAGATAAACTTAAATTGATCTACTTCAGTCTGTGAAAGATAAATAAAAAACCATCATTGCAATTAATAAATTAATAAATGAATTGTTATATAGAAAAGATCTGATAAAAAAATAAAGTGTAAATATTTATTTTTATTTAGAGACTATCAACTTATTAGGTATGAATTAATAAATAGAAGTTTATTCATAAAAAATAGCTTTGGTAAATTTTCATATATATATAAGAATAGATTCCTAACAATCTAATAGGTTTCAAAGTTACTGATTCTCATCTTACTGTGTCATAAATGTTAATTGTTAATTAATACTTGATTGTTATTAGAAAATTAGAGTTAATTATAAAAATTTGGCAAAATCTGGAATTTGATTGAACCTGAAATAATGGGATAAATAATAATATTTTTAATAGGAGAATCTACTCCTTTCCAAAGAATTTTTGAAAAATATTTTAGTTTTAAGCTATTTTGTGTGGAAAATGGTAATTTCTAAATTATATATTTAGTTAATGATAAACTTATAATAAGTACATGTCAAGGAACATTAATTATCTATTCTATAACAGAAAATTCAATTCAAGAAAAAGGTAATATTTAGGTTTTAACATCTCCAATATACAGAATCCATAATTATAATTAAGAAATTTATCTTATAACAGATAGTTAAATCAAGATATTAGAATAATAGAATTACGAATTGATTGGAGGAGGAAGTCTGAAAATAGATTATAAGCAGCATGGGTTACCTGTTTAAATTTTGATAATAAAGAAAAATTATTGTTTTTAGGTATAAAATAAATTGTAAGAACTTCTTAAGGATTTATTTTAGTATATAAACGAACTGAAAAACTAGAATTTCTAAATTAAATTAAATGTAATGTTAAAAATGTATGTAAATAATTGAAAATTATCTATATCCATGTACTGAAAATGGAATAGTTATTTTGCAAATGCAATACAAAGATAATTAGTTTAAATATTAGGAAAAACTGCATTTGCAAGTTAGTTAAATTTTGTTGGGTTCTAAAAAACTGAAACTTATATATTTGGATTTACTTAATGCGGATTAATAGTGTAATGGAATCCAGAAAATGGTCAAATGAATTAAGCTTACAAAATAGTAAGTATTGAAAAAAAATAATAATTAATGCTAATAGAATAATTTTAATATCTATAATAGATTGAATACTGCTTCTAATAAAAAGAAAAACAAATAAATCTTTAAAATTTAACACTCCAAAAAACAAAGGTATCCTTTTTAGATAAAATTTAAAGTCCTGAAAATCTAAGCACTTCAAACAAAACAGGAAAAACTTTCATTTTGAATAAATTTAATGAGGATCCAATCAAATAATACTAGAAAATAAAAATTCTTAAAATCATTTTAATCAATAGATTTTAAAAATAAAAAATAATTTTAGCCAACACCGAAGACTGCATTCTTTAAACTATTGAAACCTCTATTCATTTATATTGATTGCTATTCAAATATAATTAAATAGCACTAAAAAATATAATCATACGTGTATCTTAAGTAGTTCTACAAATCCAGATTAATCTTAAACAATTAAATAGGAGCAAATGGGATAATAATAATTTATGATTTAACAGGCAGAGAATCATTTGACTCTGAAAAGATATGGATGTCTGAAATTGATAAGTATAGTTATAGAATATATACATAGGTATGCTTAAGAAGATGTGATAAGGATGTTGGTGGGAAACAAATGTGATATGGTAGACAAAAGAGCTAGGTGAAGCATTAGGTAATATTATTAATTAATATAAGCAAAACAATTAAAATTGTAATTCATAGAAATTTCAGCCAAATTATCAACTAAGATTGAATAATCCTTTTTGACTATTGCTAAAAATGATCTAGAGAAAAGTGAGAATTCTGTTAAAGCAGATTCAGCTTAAAATATGAAAATAGGATAGATAACATAAAACTTAGGTAATAGGAAATACAAATAAAAAAAATTCACAATGTTGTTGAATAATAATTATTAAAATTAAATACGATTATGTTTGTAATTCCTTACCTTTTCTACTTCTTCTCACATGTTCAATTATTATAGAAAGGCCTATTACATAACTATCTTGATGTGGAGCTTCTATTATTTATACAAGGGAAGATGAAACAATACCTTAATTTAAAGGTTTGGAAGAAGAAAAAACAATATTTTTTATTACTGAAGCTCATTATATATATTAAAGCAATGGAACTATTTGTAATTAGATTGAGGGTTTATTTGAAGATATTTAGATATTTCTGCAGATTAGTAATGTGATCATTTTCATATGAATTGTAGAGAGCCATATAATAATTAATTGTTTTATTCTGAAGATGGAGCAAAAACCTGATTACCATCATTTAAGAATTGTAGATAAGCTTCATGGGATAAAATTATAGAAGATATTAAAGTTCCAGATGAGAGATCTATTTTATTATTTTCTCATGAGAATTAAACTTAATTGATTTATTCTGATGATTTTACTAATTATCATACTTTAATGATTGGTGTATAAGATTATTATTAAACTTCAAAATATTTATTTGTTTTAACATCTTCTAATAATTGAGGTTATGAATTACATTTTGGACATTCTAAACTAGAAGAATTTTAAGAGAAATTAGTAGAGTTACCATTACAAATTTTAAAAGAATATTATTATACTGTTTTGGATACTGAAAATGGTAGAATATACTTAACAGTTTTTCATTATTAATAAGAATAATCAATAACTAATGTTTATATTAGTAATTAAATAAGAAAATATTTCTAAATTGTTTTAACAAATAATTTGTAATGGCAAAAGATTTTGAACCAACTTATGAAATTCTATTGATTATGGTAAAACATGGAAAACTAAAACAATTTATGATGATTTATTTATAGCCCAAAATTTAGTTACTGAGGCTTCTGGTACAGTTAGATATTTTCTTATTTATGGGGGAAGGAATCATCTTAAAATTAGATTTTAGTGATATCTTTAAAAGAGATTGTAAATCAAATTTAGATTATGATATATGGAATTCTAAAAGTATTGATGGCTCTTAAACAAAATATTGTTGGAAAAAAGAAAATTCAGAATGTTTTAATCCTAAATAGATGATTACCAAAAAAATTATTGAAACTTGTCCCTGTAAAAGAGAAGATTGGATATGTGCCTCAGGTTATGCTAGTTAATTAGAAGGAGGAGATTGTTTACCTATTGTTAATATTATTGATTAATGTGAACCTGAAACAACATATTTCAAATCATAAAACTCTAGATTTAGATTCTATTGAAACTTAATGTTCTAAAACCTTCAACTTTAACGAAATCCTTTTATATTTAATATTAATTGCAGTACTTAATTTATTGATTTTTTTTGGCTATGCAATTATAAGAAGAGTCTTAACATTTGGCGATAAGAATAAAGACCCAAATATCAATAAATATAATTAAATAGAATTTTAAGAAGATGAAGATTAAGAAGATTAATAATTATGAGTTAAATGTTATTATTTATATATATATTGATAAATTTCAATTTAAAATACGAACTTTATCATTATTATTTCTTAAACAAAGAATAGAATAGAGTTAGATGTCATTTTTATCAAAGTTATCATAAGAAATATTATATTTCAGATATTACTAAGTAATGCAATTTTTTATGCTAAACGAATTTGTCATTGTAAAGCAATTCTAATTTTTGGCCGATTACGAAACCAAAATTTTTTTTTCCCATTCTCCTCTTTACTATCATTTACATATTTGACCAATTTGCACAAAATAAATAAGATTAATGATTAAGTTTTGAATAATCCTTTAGAGTAAATATATTTTAACTTTGTGTAATTTCAATACACTCATTTAATCTGAAATATGAAGAAATTGATTTCTATAGGTTTATTTTTTGAATTCTTAATAGCAATCAATCTATAAATTTTTTATTTTCATCAATGCTGTCTTTCCATTACTTATAACATCAATATCTTTAATTTTTAAATACTTTGAAAATTTAATTTATTATTGCAATTAAGATAATAAATTAACTTATTAAGATAATTCTTCACATTTGTAAATAATCCCTTAATCTATCTTTATTAATCTTTGATAATTTATTTTAAAGTCTTAAAACATTTGGCGATAATGTGATCCTTTACATCTTTCCTTTAAATCAATTGTTAGCAATTTTCACATTCAATTTCTACAAATTAACATGATTGCCTGTGTTATATCATAGAAAATCGTTTAAGTTACTCCTAAAACCTGAACACTTCACAATAACATATGGACAATCATTTTTATCATGTTGTTCTACATCTTTTAACTTGATATTAGAAAAACATAATTAACATTATAACTAAATAAGATATTAAATAAATTAGATACAATATTTTCTGGACAATTATCTATATGATTTTACATCATCAAAAAGGGAACTTCAAATAAGCACTTTGAACACAGAAGTTTTCTCTCTAAGCATTCATTTTATTCAGGCTTTTCTAGTTTTTTTGGTAATAACTCTTATGAACACCATTTGCATTATAAAAGTTTAAAATGACAAATATTATCATGTTGATTCTTATCTTTTAAAAGAATATCACTATTGCATCCCTCATACTCACATTTCACTTATTTAAACTGATAAGATTTAATGTGGAAGAAATAATAAGAATATTTCAAAATTCCTAAGCATCCATTTTATTTCAAGATCATTAAGCATATTTTTTAATATACATTAACCTTACTTTTCTTTTAGTTTATTACAAACAAGACAACTTCGTGCTGATTAGGTTATAACTCCAAGTTGTTAAAAAAGTTTAACAATAATAATTTTCAAAACTTTCACAACACATTGGATCAATGAATATTTCCAAACAAATCATAAGCTCTTCTATTTATGGACTTCTGTTAACTAATTAATCAAATCTTAAAACTTACATAATATTAAATATAATTAATAACAATAATTATGAGTGTATAAGAATTCATAGCTAAAAAGAAGTTGTTAGATGAAGCATGGAGATTTTCAAGAATGTTGCATAATTATTTTAAGTTGCTACTGCTAACAGTTCTAAAGAAAACTATAGCGATTGTTTTTTATAGCTAAAGATCAAGTCAATTGAAAAAATTTGATTGAAGAAATTAAGCATTTTGAATTAACATTAGCATAATTTAATGAGCTTTTTACTGAAATTGAGAAGGTAAAGAATTTGATGAGTTTAATTAAATGAATAATATATTTTTTATAGAATGTAAATGCATTTATATCAAATTATTCTTATTTCTTGAACAATATATAATATATCCTAAATTTAAAAAATCTCATTTAATTCACTTTCGGATAGACCATTTCCTTCTATTGTTTCCTTTAATCTATATTGAAATATCCTAATATTCTTTTGGTTAGATCATAAATAAATTTCTTGTTATTACTTTTCTACCATTTCTTTCGATTAAACATTATTTATTATTAACTAATCTACCATACCATTTCTAATTTCTAGTACTTTGAATTGGGTTTTTATTTTCTTAGAGTATCTTTCAGTTGTGTAGAGTTCATTTTTCAAATATTACTTGAATTTTCAAACTCTCCTCGATTATATATTATTTTTAAATAACAGAAGATTTCTATTTTTCTTTTTCCTTGTTAAAATATTTGAACACTATATTTTAATTGAATAAATTTAACAATTATTTTAGATGGAAACAAATTACTAAAAAGAAACTAAAAGATCATAATAAAGTTTATGTTATTTTATATAATAATCCTTAAAATGGCAAAAGTAAAAAATTAAAGTACATTTAATACATTTAGTTTTAGTTAAATAATTAAATGAAGATTCTTCGACATTTAATGGAATGGAATATTTTGAGAGTTAATAATAGAAGGAATAAAAAGAAAAGACTCCTGAAAAAGCAGAAAGTGTGTCTTCAATTTTAGCTAAAGGATCATCGAGGGTAAGATTCTCTAATCTTCATGATCACAATCGATAAAATGCTTATATATTCCGATTTGTGTCACTTTTTTAAAGAAATTGATGAAATGCTTTTATTTCTTCAAAGTTAATAAAAACAGCCCTTCTTAAATATAATTTATGAATTATTGAGCCAAAATTCAAAAATTAAAGTCACCTAATAAATTATTCAATAAATATTGGAAATCTTTGCTAATGCTTATGATCTAAATTGGACATTAAATGAAAAATTAATACAATTAGATAGGAGTGATTTAATCATAATCTCATATTTAATTGGGAGAATTTCTCCATTACTTCAAACAACTAATGTCTGACTATATATAAAAAAATGGAGAATAAATTGGTTTAGCAGCTTTACCCTAATACACAATTTAATTAAATTTTCAAATCAAAACATAAGTATAAAATGTCTTAACCAAATAAATATAATAATAACCTTAAAAACATGAAATTCAAAGTTTAGTATCTAAAGAACCAACTTATTCAAAAGTCAGTTAAATTTAATACAGAAATTAAAATAAAAAAGAAATTAGAAATTATTTAAACTGATCATTTAGCACCAAAAAAATAATTAATTGTTTATCTTCTTTAATCCATTAATATTAATATTATCTTGTAGGAGATGTTTCAAATATGTTTTTATGAAATGTTGTTAAATATGCTCTAAATAGTCTAAGGCAATTTAAAAATTAATTAAAAAAATTTTATTGATTAACTAATAAAATTATATCAACATTGGATTAAATTGATTGATAATTAGAGCGCCACAATCTTGAGAATGAATAAGGAAATAGATTTACCATCTATAATTAGATGAATAGAATAAATGTGAATAAAAGACTCTGTAATTAAAAGTTTGAATGATAAAATTAAAACAGTACTATAAGCAGTTTATTCTAATTCCCATTCATAAGGTATAGAGCTAATATCGACATAAATTTATCGTTCATCAAATTGTCCATTAATGATTACTCTTAAATTTTAAACTTGTTTATAAAATTAAATATATTATTATTACTAATTCTTTTTCTGAATATTTGGATATAATTCCTAAAATTTCTTCATTAAGTTGTTAACTCAAAAAATGTGATATATTTTCTTCTTTTTAACTTTGCATCTCACTACACAACCATAAATTTAATCATCTTCAAGCTTGTTAATTCAAACACCATAAGGAAATTGAAATTTATTTTTATATTAAAAAGAACTAGTATTTTCTATTTTTAACACTTCTTCTTGTTAAAGAATTTGATATGTAAAGGAAGCATCAGGAGCAAAGTCAACAACATAAAGTTTCATATAAATCGAAAGAGTGTGATTTATCAGCAAATTATAGTACATCTTCAGCTCATCTTAAACCTTCAATTCAAATGTAAGTTCTAATCAATACAACTTAGTAAATAATCTTATAATTAACATCTTGCAACAGCTTTACCTTTAAGAAAATTAGCTAGTCCTTATAAACAGGCTCTAGGAGATGGAATAATTGTTGAAAGAACATGCTCATCAGTTAGAACAAGTAATTATGTTAAGAGATCTGCTGCTCCTGAAAAGAGAGTAGAAAATAAAAGTGTTATTTATGAAAAAAGATCAATAAAAATGCCTTTATGTCCTCCACCATCTACAAATGTAATTGAAGAATGGAACTAATCATAAAGTTGTGTAAGGTGGGAGATTTGATAATAGTGGGCAGGAACCCCTTAAGCAATAATTAATTGAACCATAAGAACCAGAAATCTAAACATTGGGGTTTTTCAAAAAAATTAAGAATTAATTTAATGATCTTCTTAAACCATCTGATAAAGAAGTGGAATAAAGAATTATTTATTTAAATGGAAAAGTCTACCCTTAAATCAATATGCCAAATATAGTGAAAAACTAAAAATACAATATTTTGTCATTTGTTTCAATGGTGCTCTATAAATAGTTTAGATACTTTTTCAATCTTATATTTTTGTTTATTACGCTATCATAATTTGTTCCTTTGTTAAAAGGGGGCTTTTTATTTAGTTATGTTGCTCCACTAGCATTTGTATTGAGGCATATGATGATTTTTAAAGGGATTTAAAAGATAATGAAGCAATTTCATATGAATATACACAAAAAAAGGATAAAACAACATAACTCTAAAGTTGTTAATTAAAAGTAGGAGATATAATAGAAGTACATGTTAATTAAAGGATACAAGCAGTTTTAATATAACTATTTAAGTTAGAGGTAGGTGGTGGTGAAGGTTAGAGAGAAGCATTGTCATTAGAAATACACTTTGGTGTAATACCTTTTTAGCTTCAGGTAAAATATAAGCTGTTGTAATTTATACTGGAAAAGAATGCAGATCTGCATTAAATTCAAGAGAACCTAGAATATGAATTAAATTAATTAGCAAAATTATTATGTGTGCTTTTAATTTGTACAGCATTTACTATTGTATTAAGCAGTGAATTTAATGAATGGTTGCTTTAATTATTTATACATGTTCTATTATTAAGTTCAATTATTCCTATATCTTTAAGAGTAAATTTAGATTTTTCTAAATTTTACTTTTCTTATTGTATTTCAAATGATAAAGATATTGATGGATCACTTGCACAATGCCTGAAGAATTATGTAGAATTTTTTATGTTCTAACTGATAAAGCAGATACATTGATTTAAAATACAATGATTTTTAAAAAACTGTTTTTAGAAAGAATGTCCTTTTCAGTTGAAACTTTAGGTTTATTAAAAAAAATGATCAAGAAACATTGTAATAGTAAATATCCAATGGAAGATGTATTGAAGAAATATCAAGAATCAGGAGGTAGAAAAATAAAAGCTTTCAAAAGAAATCAGTATTATCATTATGTCATAATGTTACACCAGTATCAGTAGAAGAAGATGGATAAAGAACATTTTAAGCAAGCAGTCCAGATGAAATTGCTTTAGTTAATTATGCAGAGGATGTTGGATTTAAATTAGTTGATAGAAAATTAAAAGATATACATATTATAAATGTAGGGGAAACAGCAGAATAATATAAAATATTATATGAATTTCCATTTACATCAGAAAGAAAAAGAATGGGAATAATTTTATAGATATAAGGATAAAAAGGTGCAAGATTTTATTTAAAAGGAGCTGATTCAGTAAAGAAATAGAAGGTGCCAGAAGTATAAAGAGGATTTTTAATGGATGAATGTGAAAGTCTTAGTAAAGAAGGATTGAGAGCTTTAGTGATAACTCAAAAATATTTGATAGAGGATGATTTGAAGAATTTTACAATTGAATATGAGAAGCAAAGAATTAAATGGAAGATAGAGAAGCATGCTATTCAAAAGTTTTAGATTTTTATGACATGGAACGAAAAGGATAAATAGGAGTTGAAGATATGCTTTAAGAAGATATATATGCAACCTCTAAAAAATGCTGGTATCTAAATTTGGATGTTAACTGGAGATAAAGTAGAAACAGCTTAATGTATAGCAATTTCAGCTGGTTTGAAAAGTCCTACTTAAGAAATGTTTGTGATAAAGGACTTTGAAGATTCTTTAATTTAACAAAATGAACTTAATTAATTTGTTTTAAAATATAATAGTGTATTAGTTATAAATGAATAATCATTAAAAGTAACTCTTGAATTTCAACATACTGCATTTTTCCATATTGCTTGTAATGCTCTAGCTGTAGTATATTGTAGATGCTTACCAACATAAAAAGCATTAGTATCTGAGTTGATTAAAGAACATACTTAAAAGACACTACTATCAATAGAAGATGGAGGAAATGATGTAGCTATGATTTAAGCAGCAGATGTAGGAGTAGGTATTATAAGCAAAGAAGGAAAATAAGCAGCTTTAGCTAGTGATTTTTCTATACTAAAATTTAAGCATTTAGCTGTTTTATTATTATGGCATGGTAGATTGGTATATATAAGAACAGCAGTAATGGCTTAATTTGTTATGCATAGAGGATTAGTTATTGCATCTATATAAACCATATTCTCTATTATATTTTACTTTGTAGCCTTCCTTATCTATAATGATTGGCTAATGTTAGGATATGCTACTGTCTACACCATGTTTCATGTTTTTTGTTTAATTTTTGATTAAGATGTAACTAAAGAAAAGGCTCTCTAATATACAAAGTTATATAAAGCCTTGCTTAAAAGTAGAGAATTATTGATTAAAAATTCATTATAAATGTCTTAATTTTAGTACTCATTAGTTAGTTACCATTAAATATTGTAAAGTTAATACTTAGAAAATGGGATCCATCTGAATCAGATAAGATTATGCGAAAAAATTAGAATTAGAAAGTGATATAATTTATAATCTTCTATTTGAATAAGTACTTAATATCGATCATATTAGTTTTTCACATGCCAAGCATAATTCTTCGCAAGCACCTAGATTTTTAAAATTCAAAGTATTATTTGTTTATTCTTCTTATTAATCCATAAATTAATATTTAAAATAATATAACATGGTATGAATAAATATTAAAATATTTTATTATATTTTTTTTTTCAATAATTCATTCTCTACTAACCATAACATCTTCTGAATATGCTTATTTTTCAACAACTAATTTTTTTCCTTCAAATCCTGAAACTTATCGAAGTACAAATGGTGTTGCTCTTCTATTTCTGAGATACTTTTAAAAAAATGCAATATTTTTCTTTTTTGTGCATGAATTCAAATCTATTCAAATTCTACATTGCTCCTTATGAAAAGCAATAATGTGGAGTATGAGATTAATTGTCAATTGCTGGTTATTATTAGAATGGTTAAACAAAATGTGAATGCCCAGTTAGTGTCCATGCGCAAAGCCACATTATTTTAAATTATTATTATTTAATTAAAAACTCTACTCAATTAATAAATAAAAAATTAAATCTACTTTTTTTTCATTTTGTAAGGATCATAAAGTCATTGTCTTAGGATTGACAACATCAGGCATCTTAGTAAGGTATTCTAATATATTATGTAAATAGTGTTGGATTATTATATTATAATAAAGATGATCAAGAATATTAAGATTCCTTAAATACATCAAATAATATGTATGAAAGTGTAAACAAAAATACCTAAAAACAAAATATTTTTGATTTAGAAAGAGTTGATATGTTATAATATTCAATAGAAGTTGCAGGAGATGAATACTTAAGAATTACCTTAGCAAATAGAAAATAGAGGAGGATTTATAAATGAAATTCTTAACTTAATTTATATAGACAATAAATTCTTAAATATAACGAAGATATTGAAAAGAGTTATAAGAAAAATCACAAGCAGAGTTTAATAAGTT